AAATATTACTCAGCCATTAAGAGGAACAGAGTGCTGATCCATACTATGACATGGATGAACCTTGAAAACGTGGTGCTACAGTGGAAAAGCCAGACACAGAAAGCCACTTAGTGTATTATTCTATTTATGTGAAATATCCAGAGCAGACAAATCCATAGAGACAGAAAGCAGATTAGTGGTTGCCAGGGATTGGGTGGATTGGAGATAGAGACTGGCTGCCTAATTGGTGTGGTGTTTCCTTCCGGGTTGATGAAACAATCCTGTATCACTGCTCGTCGTGACCAGCCATTTTTACTTTTTATTTTGAGACAGATTCTTGCTAAGTTACATAGGCAGGGCTCAGGTTGTGATGTTGAAATTTGCCAGGCCTTGAACTTGCAATCCTCCTGCTTCAGCCTCCAGACTCACTGGGATTATAAACATGTACTACTGCACCTGGCTCCAAAACACGTTTTTTCTTACCTGAGAAAATTGTCATCACTTTAACTTTTTGTAAATCTCTTGAATGTCTAGCTTGGTACAAAACAGCTGGGTTCTCCTGACTACTTCTGAATTCAGTTTGTTATAAGATGTTGTCTTGTTTGAAGTATTTTTAAAAATACAGCCTCAAACTGGGTGCAGTGGTGCACACCTGTAATCCCAGCAGCTCAGGAGGCTGAAACAGGAGGATTGCTGATTCTAAGCCAGCCTCAGCGACTTCCAGGGGCTAAGCAACTCAGTGAGACCCTGTCTCTAAATAAAACACAAAATAGGTTGGGGATGTGGCTCAGTGGCTGAGTGCCTCAGTTCAATCCCTAGTACCACCACCCCCCCAAAAAATACAGCCTCACACAAATAGGCTGTTGAAAAAGGGAGGATGATGCAAATAGCCTCTTCAGATAATTATGGATATTTTTTGATATGGCACCAAAACATGAGAAGTTTTAGTTTCTTAGTTGCAGTGTTGAAACTGAAACCATAGTGAACTTTCTTTCTCTGGGTTTTTTGTTTGTTTTTGTTTTTTGTCCTGGTACTGGGCATTGAACCAGAGGTGCCTTACCACTGAATTATATCCCCAACCCTTTTTATTTTCTTTCTTTTTCTTAAATATTTATTTTTTAGTTGTAGTTGGACACGATACCTTTATTTTTATTTATTTTTATGTGGTGTGAGGATCGAACCCAGGGCCCTGCATGTACTAGGCGAGTGCTCTACCACTGAGCCCCAGCCCTTTATTTTCTATTTTCTATTTTCAGGGTCTCACTAAGTTGCTTAGGGCCTTGATAAGTTGCTGAGGCTGGCCTCAAACTTGTGATCCTCCTGACTCAGCCTCCACCATGCCCATCTTCATATATTTTAAATCCTATCTAGATAACTTACATAGCTGATACAATGTAAATAGTTGTTACATATTACTTAAGAGAAAAAAGACTGAATATATTCCCTGCAAATTCCATTTTTGCCCTATTTTCTGTCCTTGGCTGGTTGCATTAGATGCAGAGGTGAAGATACAGAAGACCAACTGTACCTACTTTATGCAGAAGAGCCTTTTATCCACGTTCCATTTTGTCATACAAAATAAAAAGGTGTGCCCTTGAGGTCGACATTTAACACAATTATTTTTACTGCCTTATCAAGGACATTCCTAAGTCACACTGGCTTTCATTTTTCTTGCAAGAGCTTTGTAACAAAGAATCGAATGGCTACTAGCACAGTTCAATGAGTTGCCTTCACTCTGGTGAGGGTGCCAGCTGTTTTCCTCATGATGGCTTTTGCAACACAGTGACATATCATTTAATTTAAAATTTAAATTGAAAAACAGATTAAGCCAGCTTGCCTTGAGGTATTTACTGAGCCCGTGACTCATAGTAGGTGTTCAATAAACATTCGTGAATTCTTTTTGTGCTTGTGGTCCTGGGGATGGAACCAGGGCCTCCAGCATGCTAGGCAGGCTCTCCGTCTACCACGGAGCCACACTCCCAGCCCTGGAGTAACGACCTCAGTGTACCATGCTTCTGCACGCCAAGCACTTCACTCACACGTCATCTCCTTTAACAAGGACCATCTCTGTCTCACAAATGAGTGATACCAGGCTCAGAGAGCCCAGGTGACTAGGCCAGGCAGCTGTGACAACTGAAACCGAGGGAAGCCCGGAACCCTGAACAGACCCGACACATTTAACTTGCTGCACTTGCTTTTAGTTTTGGCTATTAGTTGGCTTTTAAAATCACTAATTCTGGAGACTGGCGTGATGGTGTGCACTGAGGTCCCAGCTCCTCAAGAGGCTGAGGCAGGAGGGTCATTTGAGCCCAGCCTGGGCAACACAGCAAACCTGTCTCCTCCATCATCATCGTCGTCGTCGTCGTCATTATCATCGCTAATTCTGGAGGCCACACATCTGGGCAGTGTCATTACTAGTCTCCCACTTGCTTCCCTTCACCTCTGGTGTGGGGGTCAGGATGATAGTTGCCTGGGTTAAATTTTTAGGGACCTGAAGTCTGCTTTTATGAAACTACTGGCTCTGTGTTTGGGCCCTTGCTGCTGGTATCGTCTGGTGGTAATTTCTTTGATATCGAGGAGATGGAAATCTGCCTTCAGATCGTGCTAAGCTATGAGGACGGATCACATGCATGACCTCACTTCCCACCTTTCCCACACCTGAGACCACCCACCCTTCTCCCCCCACCCCAATACTGCCATTGAGCCCAGGGCTGCTCCAACACTGAGCCACCATCCTAGCCCCTTCCTCTCTCATTTGAGACAGGATCCTGCTAAGTTGCTGAGGCTGGCTTCAAACTTATGATCCTCTCACCTCAGCCTCCAGAGCGCACACTGCTTCTTTATATTTCATACTGGGGATTGAACCCAGGGGCACTTTACCACTGAGCTGATTTTTTTTTTTTTTTTTTTTTTTTTGAGAGACTGTCTCACTGAGTTGCTTAGGGTCTCGCTAAATTGCTGATGCTGTCCTTGAACTTGTGATTCTCCTGCCCCGGCCTCCTGGGTTGCTGGAATTACAAGGGTGCACCACCACATCCAGCTAACAGTAACTTTTATTTTTTATTTCTTTCTCAGGCTGGGAATAGAACTCATAGCCTCCCATGCATGCCAGACAAGCACTCTACCACTGAACAACATCCCTAGCCCTGCACCCTACTTCTTTATCCCATAAATATTCTTAATCCCTGTCCTCAGGAAGGCAGATTTGAGACTTGCTCTTCCACTTTCATGTTTGGCTGTCTTGTGAATAAACCCTTCCTCTTTTGCAAAACCTATCATTTCAGTGACAGGGACACTATGTGACTGGCCAAAGAGACCTGATTCAGGAACACAAGCCGATCTAGACAACACCTAGTGTTGTCCAATTTCAGCTTGTGCTCTTAACCACTGTTCCAAATACTGAATGTGTTTGGTAGAAAAAATATCTTTTTTTAGGATCAGATCAAGATAAATAGAGGAGGGCTGGGGTTGTGGCTCAGCAGTAGAGCACTTGCCTAGCACATGTGAGGCCTGGGTTCGATTCTCAGCACCACATAAAAATAAACAAATAAAATAAAGGTATTGTGGCCAACTACAACTAAAAATAAAATTAATAAAAAGATAGAGGAAATAATTAAATGAAAATTTGAGGACATTTGGTAAAGAAGTTCAAGTAACTAAGCTGCCCAGGAGATTCCCCAGTCACCAAGTGGAATTTAGACACTCACTGGCTCTCTCACCTGGGCCAGTAGGTTAGTGGCTAACAGCAGGACAGGTGGAAGCTGCTGCACAGTGACGGCAAACCCAGCTGCTCTGGCTGGAGGCTGCTGCAGTCCCAGTAGAGGCCAGGCACAGGCAGTAACCAAAGGGGGATTGGCATGTCTGTGGGCCCAGGTGTGTAACCTGAAGTGCAGCAGGAATAATGAGACAACTGGGCTTTCCTGAGCTGCGTCCCCACAGTCGGGGGCCACACCTGCAGAAGTTCCTCCAGGGCTGTGAGCAGCGGCTTTTCCCAGGTGCTCAGCCCCCGCCCTGAGAGGATGAGCTGAATCCTCCTTGTGGTTGATCCCACTGTTTCAAAGGAGGAATTAACCACGGAAATAGCAGCTGCCAGCCTTGTCAGGCCTTCATTAATTAGAATGTGATCTGGCCCCGACTCTACAGCCTCATCTCTCTCCTCTTCCCCTCCCAGACTCACAGCTTTCTCTCACCTCTGCCTGGAGTAAATCCTTCCCATTTCTTCACAACCGCCTTTGCGTGGGTGAATCCCATTCAACTCAGAAGTCATGCTCCTTTAAGAACCCTTCCCTGTGGGTACCCTCCTGCACACTGCCATCATAATAGTCTTCTTTCCTCCCTCCCTGGCTCAACATGGGGAGCAGGGATGCCATGGTTTATGGGACAGGCTCACAAGACCAACAACCATTAGGTTAGCTAATGGCTTACAAAAGAAATGCAGCTTACCTGCCAGTTGGACTAACGAGGTCCCCTGCACAGAGGGGGTGTCTGCCAGTTCACCACCGTCTCCTGGGACAGAAGGAGGGCTGCACAAGTCTTTACTCTTACCAAAGAGTAAATGAATGAACAAGCAAATCCATAGAAAGGAGAGGAAAGAACAGTGGGTGGGGTTTGTGTGCAAGCAATGAAGCAAAGAACAACCTTTGCACCGCACTCCTGGACAGGTAGCTCTCTCTTCATTCCCAGGCAATTTTCTCAGTGAGGCACTAGGTACTGTGGATGTGGGGCTGGGGGGGGGGGCAGGGGGCATAACAGAAATAGATATCAAAGAGGGGCTTATAATCTGATTGAGGAGTGGTATGCAGATATTTCAATGCTACCACAAAACAACACACTCTCAAAGAGTCCAATTGTGGAGGGATAAAAAATAGCACAGTAATAATAGAAATGGCTATGTATTAGGTTAGCTAATGGCTATGACAAAAACCACAGCATTTCGGTGGTGTGTCATGGTGGAAGTGTATGTTTTTATTTTTCTCTCATACAGCACTCCMAAGTGGGTTTTCCTGGTTGAGCAGCTCTCTTCCAAGTGGTGCTGAAAAAGGTTCTGAAACCTTCTTCTGGTTCCACTACCAATTCCAGCTGTGCAGACCAAGAAACAGGAAGGCAGGCCAAGATGTGTGTCCATTACTTCTGTGCACAATCACCTGTTGGAACGAGTCCTGCAGCCCCAGTTATCTGCTTACAAGGCTGGGAATTGTTGCCTGGAGGTGTGCACTGGAGGGAAAAAGAAATGGGGACTGCCCCATCATTTCTTAAGGGCTTATTAGTCGTTCTAAACGCTTGCATACAAACTCATAGGTTCTTACAAAAACCCAATGAGAAAGCTGTTGTTAACACTCTTGTTTTAAAGAGGAAGTTGCATGGAGAGGTTGCAGGGCTAGCTTGAGCTCACCCAGCACTTGAGCTTTCAGGGACAGGACGCGACTCCAGGCAACCCATCTCCAGGGGTTACCCGCACAACTGCCTGCGCCCAAGTGAGGCTCTGGGACCCAGGGGAGGACTCGAGCTGGTCCACTGGGATGACAGCGGGAAAACAGGATCCTTCTATTTACGTTTATCTATAATCTAAAAAAGAAAAGTAAATCAGAGTGACGTTAAACTTTACTAAAATATATCATACCGATTGACCCCTGAGTCTTACTCAGCTGGGGCTCAAGCTCTGCAATCCGTATTCGAAAACTTTAATATCGCTTTTTTTTCCCCCTTAGAACAGTTAAACAAATAGAAAGTGTCGGCTGCAGTGCTCGGATAAGTGGAGCAGTGCCGTGTGTTTTAACTAAACCAACGGTACCAGAGTGCGCGAGCGGTTTTAAAAGACTGACGCCAAGAACAAACGACGCAGTACCCAGTACAAGCACCGCCTGAACGCCCCGCCTCTTCACGCAGGCCCAGAACCGCTACGCCGCAGCGCCGAGGGCGGGGCCTTGTGGCCACACCCCTTCCCTTTCCCCGCCTTCCTCGTTCCTTCCGGGGGCGTCTTCTGCTGCTTCACCTTGTGATTGGGTGAGTCGTCTATAGTAGAAAGGACTCAATTGGATGAAGTTTTCGCTACTCGTAGATAGCCTGTTCCGATTGGTCGAGGTGTCATGGGCCAGGTTGACGTCAGCCAGGTTGCGACTGAGTGGACTCGATTGAGGAAGAGGGGCTGGCCTTCCAGCGCCTGGTGTCCGGTGTCCTTGGGTGGGCCGTGGACTTGGGGCCGTAGGGCTAAGTGGAGGGCCTGGTAAAGCAGTGTGGTGGCCCGCAGAACGCCGGCCATGACGCTGTCGGGCTGTGGCGGGGGAACGTTAAGGGCCAGCAGGACGCGGTGTTCTGTTCACCGCAAAGTCCCAGTTGGCGGCCCAGTGCGGAACCCGCTTGGGAGACTTGCGCAAGCATACGTGGACAGTTCGTTGGCAGCATGCAGTTAGATTCTGGCCGAGGAGGATTTTGAGCAAGGAAACCGAAAGAAACAGATTTAAAAAAAAAAATGGCAGCGAGCCCATTTGGCCTGCAAACCAGAACTAAGTGGGACAGTTGAAGAAGGATTCAAAAGAAATGTGCAGATCAGGTCCGAAGTTTTAGGACCTGTGAGCAAATAAAACCTGCCCCAAACATTACTCTGAAAAAACATGTGAGAATAAGCTTGTCTTGCAAAGATTATCATGAAATTGTTGGAGTTGTTAAATAGAAGACTTGCATGAAATCCTCCAGGACAAAAGTTAAAACATTTTTCTGGATTAAGATTTGTTGTTTAGCCAGGAAGTGTAGCTCAGTGGTAGAGCACACATCACAGGGCCCTGGATTCAATCCCTGACGCTAAATAAATAAAACTTCGTAATCTGTGTATTTGCCAGTGTGATAAAGAGGCAATGGCAAAAATGGCAATAGCCTGGGAATAGGGCAAAAATTCCATGTTATCAAAAATAAAGTCAGTGAAGAGGATAATGGTAGATCTTGTGATTCCACTTGAAGCTGACTTTCCCATCTAGTGAAAATCCATGCAAAGAGTACACCCTGTTTCTTGAACAAGGTACTAAAAGATGGTAAGTCAGTCACCTTCATGATAGTATTTCCAAGGACCCGTGGAAACTGGCTAATGCATATAAAAGTGTACCATAAGTGGGGCGAGTTGGCGCAGGCCTGTAATCCCAGTGGCTGGGGAGGCTGAGCCAGCAGAATGGGGAGTTCAAAGTCAGCCTCAGCAAAAGTGAGGTGCTAAGCAACTCAGTGAGGCCCTGTCTCTAAATAAAATACAAAATAGGGCTGGAGATGTGGCTCAGTTATTGAAAGGCCCTGGGTTCAATCCCCAGTACCCTGACCCACCATCAAAAAAAAAAGTGTACCCTAAGGCTGGGATGTAGTTCAGCAGTGGAGCACCTGTCTAGTATGTGCCAGCCTTTGGTTTCATCCCCAGCACTGCAAAAATAAAGTGAGGAGGTGCCATAGAGCCAGGCTTGTAATCAGCTATTCGGGAGGCTGAAGCAGAATTATGAGTTCAAGATGAGCTTGTGAAACAGACCATCTCAAAACAACAACAACAAAAAAACTCAGAACAGCATTCTGTTTTAGAGTGGTTTTGAAAATACTTTCAAATCAGGTCATTAAGAGCATTCTAGATCCTTCAAATCAGCTAGGGATATAAAAATACATGGATTAGCCAGGCACAGTGGTGCACTCCTGTAATCCCAATGGCTTGGGAAGATGAGACAAGAGGATCACAAATTCAAAGCCAGCCTCAGCAATTTAGTGAGGCCCTCAACTTAGCAAGACTTTGTGAGAGATCAACCTTGCACGTGTCTGAGTGACACTCCGGCTGGGTGCTGAGGTGCTCAGTCACAGAAATGTGGCAGAGCTTTCCCCTTCTTGGGTTTGAGGGATGGTGTAGTGCATGGGTGTGTCTTGCTACAGCCCCATGGGTGGAGCTACAGTTCACCAGTTCCTTTGTTATATAACCCCTTGCCCTGTTTAGGATAGAATCTTTCAAGGAAGTGCCTTGTGTGGGTTCCCTTCTCTTACTGTACCTTTGGGTGTGGCCTACCCAGGTGTCAGTCAACCTGCTGACAGTGGACATCATGAAGATAGACTCAGCCCCCTGAAACCTGACTCCTTGTCTCATTTGAATAGCTTCTTCTCAATAAAAGGCGCTCTCTCTCTCTCTCTCTCTCTCTCTCTCTCTCTCTCTCTCTCTCTCTCTCTCTCCCCCCCCCTCCCTGTGGACCCTTAAGTTCAGAGGAGCCCTCACAGTGACCCCAAAGAAAAAGGTATTTGTGTCTCCTGTGTGGTTATTTGTGCAGCCCAATTATCCCAGTTCAACTGGAGTGACCCCTGAGCCTTTTAGTCACAAGAACAGAAACCCGGTAAGACCTGGTCTCAAAAAGGGCTGGGGATGTAGCTCAGTGGTTAACTGCCCCTGTGTTCAATATATGTGTAATGATCAATATATATAGATATACACACTAAAACATAGATAATAATACCTAATAGAACAAAAACATCCAACACTCAGTTTGCATCAGGCACTAAGCAATTACCTTACAGACATTTGTTCCTTAAGTCCTTAAGTAGTCTCATGAAGCAGATACTTTGGAAATGAGGAAACTGAGTACTGGAGAAGGTGCTCAGTCACAGAAACGTGGCAGAGCTTTCCCCACCTAGTAACTGATCAAGCCAGTGTTGACTGAGGCAGCTGACCTCAGAGCCTCTGCTTTCTCATGGGGCAGCAGTGTCTCCCCAGTCTGGCACAGGCTTACTCTGGACTGAGGGCATATTACACTATGGTCTTCCCCTACCCCCACACTGGGGAATGAACCCAGGGTGCTCCACCACTGAGCTATGCCCCAGCCCTTTTTATTTTTTATATTTAAGACAGGATCTCACTAAGTTGCTCAGGCAGGACCTGAACTTGCTATCCTTCTGCTTCAGCCCCCTGAGTAGCTGAGATTATGGGCATTGGCCACCATGCCTGTTTCTGTGGCCTGTTTTTATATAATTTTTGGGTAAAATACCAATATTTGCCTTCTCAAATAGGATCCAATAAGTAGGCTGTCAGTGATGCATGTAGAACATTACCAAATACGAGTTTTTAATACCATGAACAATATCAAACTAGGTCATTTAACTGGACCCGAGTGACAAAACAGTCTGTGAATACAATAGGCTTATTCAAAACAATATCTTAAGAGTAATAACTGATTTTCCAAATAAATTTGTTTTCCACATTACCAAACAAACAAACAAACAACAACAACAAAAACAAACCTCTTAAAGTCCTGATGTTTCTGTGTGTTTGTTTTCTTTTGTGTTTTGATTATTTTTTGGATGCTGAGGATTGAGCTAAGTATATATGGTCTACTACTGAGCTATACCCACCCAGACACAAAGTTTTGTGTTTTTTTTTTTTTTGTGTGTGTGTGTGTGTGTTTTAGTTGTAGATGGACATAATACCTTTATTATTTATTTATTTATTTTTATGTGGTGCTGGGGATTGGACTCAAGGCCTCACATGTACTAGGCAAGCTTTCTACCCCTGATCTACAATCCCAGCCCAAGTTTTGTGTTTTAAATAACAACGTTAATTTAAAAATAAACCTCTTTGTCCTTTTAAATACAGGATCTTGAATATTTGTATGTCTTGAACATCTGCTACTCTTTTCTGATAACTTAGGATTATTATTAATATTTATCTGTCATTCTATTTGGGTTGATATAACTGCCACAGAATGGGTGGCTTATTTATAAAATGGTTTATTTCTCACAGTCCCAGAGTCTGGAAACTCCATATTCAAGGTGCCATCAGATCTTGTAACCCTCTCGTCAAGCTAGCATATAAGCAGAGTCAACCTCTTTTTTTTTTTTTTTTTGTGGTGCTGGGGATGAACCCCAGGGCCTTGTGCATACTAGGCAAGCCCTCTACCACTGAGCCACATCCCCAGCCCCCAGCTAGCATCTCTCCAGAGCTCTTGAGCACAACACAGCCATGTCTGAATTTTTGACCCTCAGAGACTGCACAGGATGGTAAGTTCTATTTTTGTTATTGTTACTATTATTATCTTGTGGCACTGGAGATTGAAGGGGTGCTTTACAACTGAGATACATCCCCTGATGGTTTATATTTATTTATTTGGTAATTGAACCTAGAGGTGCCTAAAAACTGACACATATCTCAGTCATTTTTTTTTTTTTTTTTTTTTTTTGGTGCTAGGGATCGAACCCAGGGGCACTCAACCACTGAGCCATATCCCCAGCCCTATTTTGTATTTTATTTAGAGACAGGGTCTCACTGAGTTGCTTAGTGCCTCATTTTTGCTGAAGCTGGCTTTGAACTCTTTTTTTTTTTTTAAGAGAGAGTGAGAGAGAGAATTTTTTTTTAATGTTTATTTTTTTAGTTTTCAGCGGACACAACATCTTTGTTGGTATGTGGTGCTGAGGATCGAACCCCGGCCGCATGCATGCCAGGCGAGTGTGCTACCACTTGAGCCACATCCCCAGCCCTGGCTTTGAACTCTTGATCCTCCCGCCTCAGCTTCCTGAGCCACTGGGTTTACAGGCATGTGCCACTGCACCTGGCATCTGCAGCCCTTTTTTATTTTTTATTTTGAGACAGGGTCTCACTAAGTTGCTTAGGGCCTTGCTAACTTGCTGAGTTGGCTTTGAACTTGCCATCCTCCTGCCTCACCCTCCTGTGTCACTAGTATTACAGACATGTGACCCACTTTTGGCAAGTTTATTATTGTTTTAAGAAGCTCATTTTGTAGATAATTTGTTATGCAACACTGAATAACATAACACAGCTGGTAAGAGAGATACAGTAGGCTTTTGTATATTTACCATATATCTTATAACTTGTG